GGCCACCTGGCCCGGACCACCTCGGCCCGGAGGGCCGTCAACAAAGTGGTGTACGATGACCACGAGAGCGAGGAGGAGGAGGAGGACATGGTCTCCGAGGAGGAGGAGGAGGAGGAGGAGGACGGCGACGCCGAGGAGACCCAGGATTCCGAGGACGACGAGGAGGATGAGATGGAGGAGGACGACGATGATTCCGATTATCCGGAGGAGATGGAAGACGACGACGACGACGCCAGTTACTGCACGGAAAGCAGCTTCAGGAGCCATAGCACCTACAGCAGCACTCCAGGTACCACCCAGCCCAGTGGCTGCAGGCTCCTTCCCCACCTCTCCTCCCTCCCCCTTGCTCGCTCCCTCTCGGGGACTGTGCATCCTGCCTCGATCTCCCCCACCCCCTCCTCCCCCCACAAACAGGGGAAATGCGACGGCACATCAAGTGGCAAAAAACTAGATTTACTAGAGGAAAGAGGCGCATTGTTCAAAATGGAGATTGCATTGTTGCAGTTTGCAGGCCACACACTCGCTCGCTCTCTCCCCCCTCCACCCCCTCTTTTTCCTCTACAAAATTGGTGCCAGTGGTGTCTCCACCGGGCAGGATTGAAACTTTGGCACACACATATCCATTGCATTCATTTTTCTCCCCTCGTTTTGGTGTGTGTTTGGGGAATGAAAGAAGCCTCTTGTTTTGCAAACCTCTTTGCATTTCTAATGTGGCTTCTTTTACATTTTATTATATACCAGTTCCTTAAAATGGAATGAAAGATTTAGAGAGATTATGAGACACAGCACACACACACACACACACACACACACAACACATCCTTATCTTCACACCCTTAGCTGTGTGGTTTAAAAATTGTGTAAAGGAAATGGATCAGTTGGGCTGTAGGGGAGCCTTATCTGGTCCTGTGTGTTTGTTTTTATTCTTAGAGTGCAAACAGGGGAAATGCGACGGCACATCAAGTGGCAAAAAACTAGATTTACTAGAGGAAAGAGGCGCATTGTTCAAAATGGAGATTGCATTGTTGCAGTTTGCAGGCCACACACTCGCTCGCTCTCTCCCCCCTCCACCCCCTCTTTTTCCTCTACAAAATTGGTGCCAGTGGTGTCTCCACCGGGCAGGATTGAAACTTTGGCACACACATATCCATTGCATTCATTTTTCTCCCCTCGTTTTGGTGTGTGTTTGGGGAATGAAAGAAGCCTCTTGTTTTGCAAACCTCTTTGCATTTCTAATGTGGCTTCTTTTACATTTTATTATATACCAGTTCCTTAAAATGGAATGAAAGATTTAGAGAGATTATGAGACACAGCACACACACACACACACACACACACACACACAACACATCCTTATCTTCACACCCTTAGCTGTGTGGTTTAAAAATTGTGTAAAGGAAATGGATCAGTTGGGCTGTAGGGGAGCCTTATCTGGTCCTGTGTGTTTGTTTTTATTCTTAGAGTGCTAATGGGATCGTGCAACAGTTGCGAGTAAATGGCCGATTATAAAGCAAAGCAGAAAAACCAGAACAAACAAAACCAAGTTTGATAATTCATCCAATTCAAAATCATTGTGATGAAATCCAAAACAAAAGTCCCAAACCTCAGGAACATGCATCTTCACTAAATCGATCCCTTTGCTTTGCTTGGGTAATGCAGTTTCATGTCACCTGTTGCAGGAGACGTGTAATTGATCATCCAGACATAATTGCTTAAGATGAACTTTTGGACCAACTTCTAAGTCACACAGCAGATACACTGAGAGATTTATTACAGAATAAGTTTTTCTTTTTCATTCTATTTCTGAGGAAAAAGATCTTCCTGGATGTATAATGAATTTCCCCATGGTGAAGAATTTCTCCTGTTTTCTCACAGAAAGTTTCTTTAGGCTGGTGCTGGGGTGCATTTTGTTAAAAACACACATACACAATTGCTGCCTTGTATTAGATACGTAGTTGCAGCTTACTAAATTGTGAAAAAGAAAAAGCACATAACTTTGTAGCAATAACCTCCAAAATGTTTCCTGCATATTTTTGTTAATCTGGATTAAGTAAAGTAGAACCTGGTTTTAAGAGCATTTCCAAAGTAAAATTTGTAAGTAAATTTGAGGATCTTAAAAACGTAAGGTGTGTCACATCATTTTTAGAAAAACAGGGTGGTAAAAGTGGTTAAATTGAAATGTTTCTGGTTTTTATGAATGCTTAAGTACTTGTTGGATAAGTATGACCATTAAACCAGTTGTAAACGCATTTAGATTGTCCTACAATAACACCAGATGAAAAAAGGTAGTTCCGCTTGTCCGACAAAATAGTTGCCTGCCTTGTGGGGGCTGAGCTGGGAGGAGGCTGAGTTGTTGGGGGTTGCTGGCCGGGAAATGAAGGAAATGAATCAAGTGTCAATTATTAATTTCTTATATGGAGAAATGACCACTGGCAAGTTTTCATTTCTTGCCAACTGAATTTTATTTTACCTTCAGAAATCACACGTCGGTGTTTGTGGTTGTTGTAGCAAGAGCTTGGCATTGAAACATGGAGACTGAATTACGTACTCTATCAGAGGAAGTTTTTTCGGGTTAGGCACAGCTAAAGTATTTTGGCAGGGCTGTTCAGCTACTTGAACTATTTGAAGGCCTACCAAGTAATAGTAATATATAGGGTTAATGGCTGTGCATACGCTGAATTAAATTTCAGTTGTGGCTAGCCTTCCTTTTTTAGAAAAGGAAAGTACCTCTAATATTTTTGTGACATTTGTTCTTCTTAATGACTCCTTGCAGTCTACCTGTGTGTGCTTGTTCTTCCCATCTATGGAATTAACTACTTGCGTCGGTAGTGATCTGATAACCCCCAGCAGCTCCTAATGTTCTGCTTTGCACCTAGCGGGTGCTTGTCAAAGACTGGTTGGATAAATTATTGTTGGTAGGTGAGAAGTTTTGATAATTAACGTAGTAAGGGCCATAACTTCTAAATATTTCGGAAACTGCACATTGATCTTAGATTTTGACAGTTTGATGGGGGAATGTTTTTAATAGCAGAGTTACTGTATTTTGAGCTCTTATTTCATATTACTTACCAGGCATTTTGCTTTCTTTATTGGAAGTGGTGTTAACTTGGATGTTTGGCCTTTTGAAGCATTTTGCTTCTTAAAATCATGGTAGAAAGGGTGCTACATTTTGTGTTCTGAAGTTTCAGAATAGATCCTCTTGCCTAGAATGAGTAACTGTACAACAGCGAGTCGGTTAGGCTAAGTACTAGTTTCACGAGATTTATTGCCTTTGCTTCCTGGGAGGAAGGCTGTCAGAGAATGTGTAAAAAAAAGTTCTAAGGCTGGTTTAAGATGTCCCAAAGAGCGTGTAAAGAAATGTGATCTAGGGGCCAGTGTTTGACACAGTGGATAAGGGACTGAATCAGCACGTGGCCAACTGTGGTTCGAGCCTCAGACCTGGCCGCTTGAGAGTCATGCCAGGCACGTGTATGTGCGGGCCCAAAATCCCAGGAGGAGAAGGGATTACAGCATGTCCCCACCCACCACGAGGGGAGGGGTGATTTCTCACTTTCCCTCTCACTGCCTCTCCAGCAAGCACATGCACCCTATGGCAAAAACATTTAAAAAAAAAAGAAAAAAGAAATATGATTGGTGAAATTGAATCCTATTCTACTGGCATGGCTAGAAGTGGGGTATATGTTCTTGGTAATTTAGAGTAATTTGATTAATTTTGTAGTTTAGAATGTTGGCTTAGGTACTGTCATTGAATTCCTGGTATAACTGGGCCAGCAGGTAGTGTGGTAGTTAAGGCCCTGGAGCCTGCATGGCCAGCTGTGTGGTTTGGTCCTAGATAGAGGCTTGAACAACACACTGGGCACATGTGTGCACATGCCCCAAATCCCTAGAGAATGGAGGAGAAGGGATTGGGGAGTGGCCTTTCATGGGAGGAGGGGGGAATGATTTCTTTCCCTCTGTCTCTGGTGAGTGCGTGTACCCTATGGCAAAAATCTAAAAAAAAAAAAAAAAAAAGGAAAGAAAGAAAAAGAAGAAAAATAAGTCATTCATCTGTTTATCTGTTGAGTATTTCGGAGGATGTAGAACTGTTAGTGCAAAGACATTGGTTGATGTTACTAAAGCTGCAGTTGAGAGGTTTTTGCCGTATGGTGTGTGCTCTCACAGGAGAGACAGAGACAGAAAGTGAGAAAGTATCCCCTCAGAGGGGATGGCCACGCTGCAATCCCTCCTCCTCCATTCTCCTCTCAGGATTTTTAAAAAAATTTAATGTATTTATGCATTTATTTTAATTTGGCCAGAGAGAGACAGAGAGAAGTGGGAAAGCAAGCCACCAGGTCTGGGACTCGCACTGTGGTCAGTCATAAGGGAGTGTCCAGCACCTTAACCATCATGCCACCTGCTGGTCCCTTCTCTCAGGATTTTGGACACACACACACACACACACACACACACACACACGTGCCTGCGGCAAGTTTTAAGCTGCTGGGTCCTGGACTTGAACTGTGGTTGAATATGTGGGAGTCTAGCGACATAATTATTACGTCATCTGCAGGTCCCCTATAGATTTAAAGAAAAAATTATTTATTTAATTTTATTTATTCAGATATTTATTTTAATTTGAGCAGAGAGAGAAAGAGAGAGGGAAAGTGAGAAAGCAAGACACCAGGTCCAGGACTCAAACTTTGGTTAGCCATATGGGAGTTTCCAGACGCTTTACCATCATGCCACCTGCTGGCCCCTAAAGCTGTAGATTTTAAAAAGTTTTTTCATTGGCAAATGTTTTCCTTTTATGGAGAAAAATTTTATTTTTGTAAAAGATTTATTTTGTTTTATTATTCTTATTCAATTTGACCAGAGAGGGAGAGAAAGAGTATGAAAGCAAGCTGCCAGGTCTGGGACTCAAATTGCAGTTGGCAATGTGGGAGTCCAGCACCTTAACCACCATGCCACCTGCCAGCTCCTGGAGAAAAATTTTAAATGGTTACCCAAGGAACTCATTTGACAGATATTAATGTAGGGTCAAAACGTACTGGCGCCAGCAGGTGATGTTAAAGACACTGGACTCCCACTTGGCTGACAGTGGTTTGATTCCTGGACCTGGTGGCATACTTTTTCACTTTCCCGCTCTCTCTCACTCTGTTCCTCTGTGGTCAAATATAAATAAATAAATACATAACTGAAGGAAGGAAGGAAGGAAGTCAAATAAAATCATTCTTGAAGAAAAAGAAAGTGGGGCCGGCAGGTGTTGTGGTGGTTAAGGGCACTGGACTCCCACATGATCGACTGTGGTTT